GAGTGACCAGCTGACGGTACGGTACATCGCCTCAGATTGCAACCTTGCCGACCTCTATACCAAGGCTCTTGGCAAGGCTGACCACCATCGCCTTCTTCGTTCCATGGAGTCAGAATGGTCGGGTTCTCGGTGAAGTTGAGGGAAGGGCAGTCAGTAATGTCCAGGAAGATGTGTGAGATAAATTGGCAGACCGCGTGAAGGTGAAACAGCTCCTCATGCCTGTCCTCCAGAAGTGCACGGGGGGGAATACGGATGGAGGGGACATCATCCCCGGCAGGAGGAGGCGGGGTGACCGAACACCGGATGGAGAAGGCGGCTGGTCCCCAGGAGAGAGGCGGAGCCGATCCCTTGGAACGAGTGCGACTAGAGACCAGAGACGAAGGCGGCTGCTGTGGGACCGGAGGGACTGGGCGCTTCAGATAGGAGACTCGTGAGCCGGGCTCAACGCGTGGGGAAGGCGGAGCAGGAGGAGGTGCCGCTGCGGAGGATATCGGGGAGGCTAGGTGAGACACGCCGGACGGAGAAGGCCCCGTAGAAGGGGCACCGGCCGGAGGTGGGGCATCGAAGTCTGCCCATACAAGCGTCGGGGGAGGCGGACGAGGCTCACCCGTGGTTGCAGAGTGGAAGGGGCATGTCTGATCGAAGATGACATCACGGCTACGAATCAGCTGTCTGGTGATGGGGTTGACGAATAAGTAGTCTGGGGAGTCGGAGTTGTGCCCCAGGTACATGCAGGTCTGGGTTTTGGGACCAAGCTTGCCACCTTGCTTCCTTCGTGTGTGGGGGCTGAGCAAAGCATATTGCGGTACACCCCCAGACACGTAGAGAGCAGTCGGAGGGCGTGGCCCCAAGCCAGAGAGTGGTAGGTGTAGTGTCGGGCCGGTGGGAATGCAGATAAAGATTGTTGAGGAGAGCCACATGGAAGAGGGAATATTCCCAGAGTGACCGTGGTGCGTTGGCGTGACTGAGGAGGCAGTGAGCGATTTGAACCAAGGTGTGGTTGCGGCTCTCTGCAATGCCATTCTGCTGCGGGCCTTCAGGGAGCGTGAAGGTTTGCCAAATCCCTTGGGTCGCGCAGAAGTTATCGAGTTTGCCATTGCGAAATTCTCGCCCGCCATCAGAATGGAGGCACTTCAGAGGAGTGCCAAACATGACTTGAGCCTGGCGCACCCATGCCACGATGACGTCAGGTGCCTCCGCCTTGGTGTGCAGGAGGTGCACAGAAGCATACCGCGAGTGGTCATCGACTAGTGTAAGAAAGTACCGATGACTGCCACGGGATGCGACTGGAGCTAGGCCCCAGACATCCATGTGCACTAGGTCCAGCGGAGCAGCTGCGACGGATGGGGAGGAAGGGTGCGGCTGCTGCCTAAGCTTGCTTTTGGTGCAATCCAGGCAGGTGGGTGCAGGTGAGTCTGTTGGTGGAGGAAGCGCCAACGTGAGGCCAAGAAGAAGTTTCTTGGAAGCGATGTCGGCAAGCGTACGGAAGTTGGGGTGACCCAAGCGATGATGGTAGAGGATGGTTGGGTTGGCGAAGCTGTGACAGGAACACGGAGTGGTGTTGGCAGCTTGCGCTTGGGAGAGGGCGGCGAGAGGTGCAGGTGAACGCAGCGTGTAGAGCTTGCTGCTGTTGAGTGTGAAGCATGCTAGGAGCTTGTTGGACTTAGGGTCAAGGAGGTTACAGTGATCCGAGTGTGCTGGGAAGATCGTGGTGACGCCTGCCCGTTGGAGCTTGTGTTGGGCCACGAGATTGTGGCGTAGTGTGGGAACACACATGCCGGTGACACTGCCCGAAGGAAAAGCTGGGCATGGAATTGTGGAGGAGCCCTTGCTGTGAGTTGTGGGACTGGAGTCTGCTCCTAGTAGACGGATTGGTGCCTCGTATGGCTTGAAGGAGTGTTCTTCCTTGAGAACCGTGTGAGTGGCCCCACTGTCGAGGGTGAACTCTATTGTGGCTTAAGTGCTTTGTGAGCCGAGACAGTGCGAAATTGTCTCATTAATCATGGTAGTGCCAGGGAACAACATGTTGAGGCATACATCAGCAAGGGGAGCTTCAGCAGCCTGCACGGATTCCTGCGCTTCTGGCTCTTTGTCGTCACCAATGTTGAGAAGAGCGTCGGTGAGCTCGAGCCCCTTCACCTTGCGACTGAGGAGGTGCTTGTCAATACCATAGCGCCAAGCCTTGTACTTGGAGCATGTACCGTCCGGCTTGAGACAAAGGAGCGGGATCGGGTTGGTGAGTGAAGTGGTTGAGTAAGCTATTCCCGTTTGATTTTCGCGAGGTGACACTCTTAAGTCACCGATAAGAACTTCGGTGCGCAGCGCGGCACTTCTGGAAATCGGTCGTCGAGAATTGCTGAAAATCACTCAGACGGCTTCGCCGAAATGCCGCTAAGAAGGAAATGGCATCGGCGGGAATTTGTTTAAACACCGACTTGAAACTGAATCTGAGCCTAAGTCTAACCCCGGACCCACACACCCCCCCACACACCCCCAGGCCTTGTCCCGCAGCTACACAGCTTCGCAACCAGCTCCACAACCAGCTCCGCAACCAGCTCTGCAACCAGCTCCGCTCCGCTTCCTCCTGTGTACCTGCTCTTGCTTGATGCGAGACGTTCGTGGAGGCAATTGCGCGAGGGGAGTTCGCCTATGCTGGCGGGGTCCGAGAGGAAACTCGAAAACGAGCTTTAAGAGATGGTCGAAATTGAGATTCGACCAAGGAGAACCGGAGAGGAAATCGACGATGAGAAGCGTGAAAGTTTCAGAGATGAGAAATTGAAAGAGGTCGGGCGCGAAGGCGGTCGATGATGAGAGGCGCGATTGCAGAGTTGAGCACGTCGAAAATTCCGACGACTCGAGATGAATGTCGCGACGATGAGGTGCGCATAGCGAAGGCACGTTAAGATTAGGACCTTGATCTGCGTGTGCAGATAGGTCGCTCTGATACCATGTAAGAAATAGAGCTGAAATGATTGATTAGGTAAGGAGCCCAAGGCTCTATAAGTACATGGCAAGGTAAGGGAGAATGGATGAAGGGGGAATCGGAGGGAATCCCCATTGGGATCTCCAGAATCTCCAATTGGGTAATTCGAGATTGGGGGGATCACAATTGGGTGAGGTTGGGATTTTGTGAGTGCACCCCAATCCACTAGAACATTCCTAACCTAAACTAGGATATAATAGTACAAATACAAAAGTAGGATTTGCAATCTATTTCTAACAAAAACCTCCCATTATGCTGAGAGCAAGAAGCACTTACCTCCCATATTCCAATCGTCTTGGCGCCATTGTAACAACTTGGGGAACCTCAGTCTAGTTAGTGAAATCCTTGCTCTTATACATCAATACGCAGTCGGTCCCATTTTGTCTTGATCCAACAATCATCCTCCAGACTCCATCACTCCCTTTCCACGCTGATGGGTATCTGAAATCAAACTTGCTCACTCCAGGAGGTGGTCGAGCTATTGGGTTGTAAAGGCTTTTGACCCAATTCGTCAGGTGAGGATCAGACGCGTTTTCCGGAAGAGCCAGGTTTTGCAGCTGTACATTGTTGTCACTGCTTCTCGTGTATAGGATAGCAAGAGTACCGTCGTCAAGAACCATAGCAGAGCCCGACCATGCACCCTTCACGTCGTACCACTTGTCAGGACTAATGGCCACGGGCAAGTGGATCCACTGCGAGCAAAATATTGTCAATCGTAGAGACAAGGGAACGTTAACTGACATCAACATGTTTCATACGTGGATCGGATTGCTTGAGACAGCGTGACCCCAACTTATGTTACCCCAAACCGCGCCAAAAGGATTGTACTGGTAGAATAAATGAAAATGCCACTTGTAATAAATCGGCACTGAGTGAGCACATATGTAAGATTCTAAAATGACACAATGGATCCCGATAAACGCAGTGCTCACCATTTGGATCTGCAACGAAAAACATCGATTTCTTGTCAGCAACGAGATTATCAAAAATATTTCACCACTGATCCTACTGATGGGATTTTGAGGCACTGATATTTACTGACGATTCATCCAGTTCCCTTCTGGTTGAAAGTGGAATGCTGTTCTTCTGGTCGGCACGCCGTACTTAGGGGATTCATCTTTTCGTGAATGATAAAATTTGACGAATCTAGCTATGCATCCCGCAGAAAATGCGATGAAAAGCAGTAGGAAGGTGCAGCATTTTCTGATGCGCTCTTTTCTTTCTGAATTAACTAGTGGGTGGCAAAGCTCGGTGAGGCTTGCCATTGGGAATGTGTGAGCTGACAAGCCTTTCTTGGCCTAAGCTCCTTGAGCTGATAATCGGAAGGATGAAGTTGAGTCTAAGGACGTGGTGCAGCCGTTTCAAACGGGACCTGTCTTTGCGGGCAGAAATCGCGGGGGTCGTATAGATGTCGTGAATAAAGGAAATAGCTGTATTCGCGAAAAGGGTCTGGACTTATGTTCCGCAAGCAACGGCTGCACCACGCAAGGAACAACTGCACCACGCAAGGAATGGATGCACCACGCAAGGAACGACTTTAGAGCGTGTTCCTACGAAACTCTTCCCAGGCAGCCATTTCCCTCACTCGTGCACTAAAGTGTTGTCAAATTTGACGCAAAACTGTTCAATGCGGTTCCGCGTGGTGCGAGCAAGGTTAGGCTTGCCAAGATTCACGGGCGCGTTAATTAACCTCTTTTCAGGCGAACATAGTTTTAGACTCCCGCAATCTGAAACGGGTTATTTCTGAACGGGGGGGGTCCTGGGAACACGCTCTCAGGGTGACGCGCGAGTCTGGGAAGGGGTTGCCTGGGAAGAGGCTCGTAGGAACAGGCTCAGAGTCTAGAAAGTGGCAGTTTGGGGAATGGAGGGAAACAGTGATCATAGGATGAAGTCCAACCCAGGCCTTTTGATATCCGGGTAATTACCCTGCTTACTCAAGGAAAACAGGGTGATTTTTGTGTACTACCCTGATTTCTACGCATCCAGATTTGAAGTACACGTCCACTAGCAGACTAGGCAACAACATTCCACGTCCGATTTCCGAGTAGTGGAATGTATCGCCCTGTAACATCCGTCTGTAAGGCCTGGTTACCCAGCTAGAAACCCCTCTTCTCCGTTGAGGGAGAGATTCGGGCAAAACCGCTCCCGAAATCCCAAGTGGGCCTTTGGGATTTCGGCAAGCGCGCCACACCCTGATTGGATGTTGCAGCTTCCCCAACCAAGCCTCTCTAACTCAAACTCGTTTCCCCCAACCAAGCCACTCTGAACCAAACTCATTTCCCCCAACCAGGCCTCTCTGAATCATTTCCCCCAACCGAGCCTCTCTCAACCAAACTCGTTCCCCTCAATGAAGCCTCTCTCAGCCAAACTCGTTCCCCCAACCAAGCCTCCCTCAGCCAAGCTCGTTTCCCCAAAGAGGTTTGGTTGGGGAAAACGTGTTTTCCTAGACCACGTGCTCCATATGCATTTGTACCTGTGGGTAGGGAATTTTTTTTTGTAGTCGGCAATAAATTGGTGAAGTGGCGGTTGCACTTGTAGTCAATCGTTTGGGTTTTTTTTATAGCACAAATTGGCTTAAAATAACATGCGAGGACTTGTAGATGAAATTGGTTCGGGAAAGTTCAGTGCTGTTCAAAGAAGTGAACGCGACCATGAAACCCTGCACATGCCGGGAAACCCCCAAAACTGCCTTGCAAAAACAGTCAACATTTTTTTGGTTACCCAGCTTGGACGAGTTGGTTGCGCGACTAACTCGGATTCTGCAGGGGGCCCTTCGGGGACATCGAGAGGCCTGGTCCAACCCTCTGAAATCGGTTGGATGAGATTCTACCAACGAAAGAATCGTTTTTGCAAGAACCATTCTCAACCGTTCTAGAGCTTTATTTGGCCGTTCCAGAACACAAATTACTTGCGTGTCCCTTGCCACCTCCAGAGACCCATGTCTTTCAAGTTTGTGGTCCCCACAGCGTTTTTTGTGGGGTATTCTTGGGGAGATCTCGGGGACAACTTGGCTGTGGGGACACGTGGGTAACCCTCAAGCCCGAGGCCATTTTGGTTTCGAAAATTTTGGGGGTCACATGGATATCCGAGATCCGCCAGGGGGTCCTCAGGGGGTCCTCATATATCCTTGGGTTACCCCCCAGCGCGAAACCCTGAGGTGACTTGCGACAGTCTTGGGGGTATAATTTTGCCACCCTAATTTTCGGGATGGACAGCGGCGCCGTGGACGAGGGCGATCCCGGGGGCTCCCCTGAGCGGCGCGCAGCGGGTGGCGGCGGGGAGGAGGAGGATGAAGGCGAGGGGGCTGGCGTGGCGTACCACGAGGTGGGGGCGGCGGCGGAGGGTTGGGAGGGGACGGCTGCGGGGGAGTTGGAGTCGCACGACGCGGATCCGAACCTCGGGCGTCGGGCGCGCGGCGCTGCAATGGGGACGGCTCGTATGGGATCCGCGCATCGGCCTGTTGGAACCGGCGGAGATTTCGGCGGGGATCACGGGGAGGCGGAGGTGGAGGATGGTTACTGGGGGGGAGATGCTGGCGAGAGCGATCGATGGGCGGCGGAGGCGGAAGGGGACGCGGAGAGGGAAGGGGAGGGGGAAGACAGGTGGGCGGAGCAGGGAGAGGCGGACGACAACGATCGGGAGATGGGAGACGCGGACGACGATGGCGGTGGCGCGGGCGGGAGTGCGGGCGGGGGAGCGGGCGGGGGGGATGTGATTGAAGGGGGGATGGATGGGGAGGACGGCGGAGAAGAAGGGGAGGTGGTGGGCGGGGGGGAGGAGGACGACGGAGGCGTGGACGAGGAGAGGGACGCGAGACGGCAGGGAGGAGTGCGAGCGGCGAGAGGGGGAGGGGATAGCAGCGGGGAGGAGGAAGCAGGGGTGGCGCACGGGGAGGGAGAGGCGGAGCAAGGAGGGTGGGGGAAAAGGGAGGGAGAGGAGGGAGGGGAGGGGGGGGCGGCGGAAGGAGAGGATGACTCGGAAGAGGACCGAGAGTGGGATGGCGAGGAGGAGGACGAGGAGGGGTCCGATGGAGGGGAGGATGAGGGAGAGGAAGAGGAGTTGGAGGAAGGGGATGAGGACGAGGAGGATGTGCAAGAGGTGGAGAGTGAGGGGGGGGGCGAGGAAGAAGAGGAACGAGAGGAGGAGGAGGAAGAAGGAGATGGCGAGGGAGAGGCGGAGGAGGGAGAGGAAGGGCAGTGGGTTGGGCATGGGGGGCGTTATGTGGCATCAGGGGGCGCGTTGGATGCGAGGGAGGGAAGGGAGGGTGTGGGGGAGGGAGCGAGCGGGTACCCTGTGCACATTGACTTGGACGACGACGATGAGGAGGAGGGGGAGCAGAGAGAGGAGGGTGTGTGCGATGGGGTAAGGGAGGTGAGCGCGAGAAGGGTAGACCCGGGCGAGGAGGACGAGGAAGAAGAGGGCGCAGGGGGAGAGGGGGAAGGGCGGGGGGGAGCAGAAGATGTGGAGGATGGGGGCGCGATGGGGGATGGCGCAGGCATGGAGGTGGATGGGGCGTGGCATGGTGGGGTGGGGGAGGCGGAGGATGCAGGGCTTGCAGCGATGTTGGGGAAGATGGAGAGGGGGGGTGGCGGAGGTGGGGACGAGGCAGGGCTGGTGGGCGTGGATGGAGAGGGAGCAGCAGCAGAGGGGGACGCAGAGGGAGGTGCTGCGGATGGGTGGCGCTGTGAGTCGCAGAGGGCATCATGGGACGGTGCTGCAGGTGGAGACGCGGCACTGGTGCCGGCAGCAGCATCAGTGGAAGCAGCGCCAGTGGCGTGTGGTCATGATGAGCCTGCTGCGCTTCCTGCTGCGCTTCCTGCTGCTGCTTCGGTGGCGCCTGGTGCGCTGGAAGAGGGCGTGAAGGGAGGTGCTTCTGAAGTGGTGAGGACACTAGAGTCAGTCGCGGCTGATGGCCAGGGATTGCCAGGCACGTCCTCAACCTCTCTTGTGCCAGCAGCAGGAGAAGAAGCAGGAGCAGGAGCAGCAGCAACAGCAGCAGCAGCAGCAAAAGCATCACCAAGACCAGCACCAGCAACATCAAGAACACCAGCAGCAGCAGCAGCAGCGGCAGAGAGCAGTCTATCGGGTCTGCGTGTGCAGTGGCGAGGGCAGAGGGGCGGCTCGCCAGAGCAGGCGGGAGCAGCGGTGGGCGGGGCTGCAGTGCCGTGCAGATGGAGCGAGCGCAGCACAGCAGCAGCAGCTGTGAGGGCGGGGCTGATGCCGCAAGCGCCAGGGGCGACAGGCAGGGTAGCCCTTACGTGGGGGGCCGAGGGAGGTGTGGAAGAGGTGGGTGGGCGGAGAGGGCGGGTGCGGCTGGCCCTGGCGTCGTGTGCGGCGCCCCTGCTGCCGCTGTCTGGTGGGGAGGAGGAGGACGACGACGATGATGGCAGGGCAGCGGAGCTGGCAGTGATGGGTCGGTGGAGGGGCGATGAGAGGATTGGGGTGGATACAGATGGAGGGAGGGGGAAGAGGAGGAGAGGAGAGCAGGAGGGGGTGGAGGAGGAGGGTGCATTCGATTGGAGGGAGTGGGATGGGATGCGGTGCACGTACAAGTGCAGGAACATGGTAATGCATGTGAATCTCCATTCCTGGACGTGTCAGTGGGTGCTTGTGCGTGATGACAGCCCAACTCACATCTTCCTCTTGTGCATGTTGCATGTGTGTGTGTGTGTGTGTGTGTGTGTGTGTGTGTGTGTGTGTGTGCGTGTGTGGGTGTGTGTGTGCGTGCGTGCGTGCGCGTGCGGGTGCGGGTGCGTGTGTGTGTGTGTGCACGGCACGGCACGGCGTGGCATGGTGTGGGCAGGTGAAGGCGGAGTTGATGGCACACGTGGCTCGGCTGGAGCAGCAGCTAGCGGCTTTCACTCACACCAACACCCACACTGCTGCTGCCCTCGCTGCTGCCGGTATCGCACCACCCACCAACCCCTTCAACCCACCAACCCGTTCAACCCACCAACCCGTTCAACCCACCAACCCGTTCAACCCACCAACCCGTTCAACCCACCAACCCGTTCAACCCACCAACCCGTTCAACCCACCAACCCCAACAACCCACCAACCCCTTCAACCCACCAACCCCTTCAACCCACCAACCCCTTCAACCCACCAACTCCTTCAACCCACCAACCCCTTCAACCCACCAACCCCAACAACCCACCAACCCCTTCAACCCACCAACCCCTTCAACCCACCAACCCCTTCAACCCACCAACCCCTTCAACCCACCAACCCCAACAACCCACCAACCCCTTCAACCCACCAACCCCTTCAACCCACCAACCCCTTCAACCCACCAACCCCTTCAACCCACCAACCCCTTCAACCCACCAACCCCTTCAACCCACCAACCCCTTCAACCCACCAACCCCTTCAACCCACCAACCCCTTCAACCCACCAACCCCTTCAACCCACCAACCCCTTCAACCCACCAACCCCTTCAACCCACCAACCCCAACAACCCACCAACCCCTTCAACCCACCAACCCCTTCAACCCACCAACCCCTTCAACCCACCAACCCCTTCAACCCACCAACCCCGTCAACCCACCAACCCCTTCAACCCACCAACCCCAACAACCCACCAACCCCTTCAACCCACCAACCCCTTCAACCCACCAACCCCTTTAACCCACCAACCCCTTCAACCCACCAACCCCTTCAACCCACCAACCCCTTCAACCCACCAACCCCTTCAACCCACCAACCCCTTCAACCCACCAACCCCTTCAACCCACCAACCCCTTCAACCCACCAACCCAAACAACCCACCAACCCCTTCAACCCACCAACCCCTTCAACCCACCAACCCCTTCAACCCACCAACCCCTTCAACCCACCAACCCCTTCAACCCACCAACCCCAACAACCCACCAACCCCTTCAACCCACCAACCCCTTCAACCCACCAACCCCTTCAACCCACCAACCCCTTCAACCCACCAACCCCTTCAACCCACCAACCCCTTCAACCCACCAACCCCTTCAACCCACCAACCCCAACAACCCACCAACCCCAACAACCCACCAACCCCTTCAACCCACCAACCCCTTCAACCCACCAACCCCTTCAACCCACCAACCCCTTCAACCCACCAACCCCAACAACCCACCAACCCCAACAACCCACCAACCCCTTCAACCCACCAACCCCTTCAACCCACCTTCCATTCTTGCCTTCTTATCGCTTCCCTCCCTCCTTGCTCTCTCTGTACCTCCTAGTGCTACTGCATTGCATTCTCCCTCTTCCTGTACCCCTCTATGCCGTGACATCAGCATCCGTTCCTCATGCATCCGTTCCTCATGCACTCAGTCCTCATGCACTCAGTCGTCATGCACTCAGTCCTCATGCACTCAGTCCTCATGCACTCAGTCCTCATGCACTCAGTCCTCATGCACACACTCCTCATGCACACACTCCTCATGCACACACTCCTCATGCACACACTCCTCATGCACACACTCCTCGTGCACACACTCCTCGTGCACACACTCCTCGTGCACACACTCCTCGTGCACACACTCCTCGTGCACACACTCCTCGTGCACACACTCCTCGTGCACACACTCCTCGTGCACACACTCCTCGTGCACACACTCCTCGTGCACACCACTCCTCGTGCACACACCCCTGCACACACTCCTCGTGCACACACTCCTCGTGCACACACTCCTCGTGCCACCCCCCACACTCCTCGTGCACACACTCCTCGTGCACACACTCCTCGTGCACACACTCCTCGTGCACACACTCCTCGTGCACACACTCCTCGTGCACACACTCCTCGTGCACACACTCCTCGTGCACACACTCCTCGTGCACACACTCCTCGTGCACACACTCCTCGTGCACACACTCCTCGTGCACACACTCCTCGTGCACACACTCCTCGTGCACACACTCCTCGTGCACACACTCCTCGTGCACACACTCCTCGTGCACACACTCCTCGTGCACACACTCCTCGTGCACACACTCCTCGTGCACACACTCCTCGTGCACCACCACTCCTCGTGCACACACTCCTCGTGCACACACTCCTCGTGCACACACTCCTCGTGCACACCACTCCTCGTGCACACACTCCTCGTGCACACACTCCTCGTGCACACACTCCTCGTGCACACACTCCTCGTGCACACACTCCTCGTGCACACACTCCTCGTGCACACACTCCTCGTGCACACACTCCTCGTGCACACACCTCGCACACTCCTCGTGCACACACTCCTCGTGCACACACTCCTCGTGCACACACTCCTCGTGCACACACTCCTCGTGCACACACTCCTCGTGCACACACTCCTCGTGCACACACTCCTCGTGCACACACTCCTCGTGCACACACTCCTCGTGCACACACTCCTCGTGCACACACTCCTCGTGCACACACTCCTCGTGCACACACTCCTCGTGCACACACTCCTCGTGCACACACTCCTCGTGCACACACTCCTCGTGCACACACTCCTCGTGCACACACTCCTCGTGCACACACTCCTCGTGCACACACTCCTCGTGCACACACTCCTCGTGCACACACTCCTCGTGCACACACTCCTCGTGCACACACTCCTCGTGCACACACTCCTCGTGCACACACTCCTCGTGCACACACTCCTCGTGCACACACTCCTCGTGCACACACTCCTCGTGCACACACTCCTCGTGCACACACTCCTCGTGCACACACTCCTCGTGCACACACTCCTCGTGCACACACTCCTCGTGCACACACTCCTCGTGCACACACTCCTCGTGCACACACTCCTCGTGCACACACTCCTCGTGCACACACTCCTCGTGCACACACTCCTCGTGCACACACTCCTCGTGCACACACTCCTCGTGCACACACTCCTCGTGCACACACTCCTCGTGCACACACTCCTCGTGCACACACTCCTCGTGCACACACTCCTCGTGCACACACTCCTCGTGCACACACTCCTCGTGCACACACTCCTCGTGCACACACTCCTCGTGCACACACTCCTCGTGCACACACTCCTCGTGCACACACTCCTCGTGCACACACTCCTCGTGCACACACTCCTCGTGCACACACACTCCTCGTGCACACACACTCCTCGTGCACACACTCCTCGTGCACACACACTCCTCGTGCACACACTCCTCGTGCACACACTCCTCGTGCACACACTCCTCGTGCACACACTCCTCGTGCACACACTCCTCGTGCACACACTCCTCGTGCACACACTCCTCGTGCACACACTCCTCGTGCACACACTCCTCGTGCACACACTCCTCGTGCACACACTCCTCGTGCACACACTCCTCGTGCACACACTCCTCGTGCACACACTCCTCGTGCACACACTCCTCGTGCACACACTCCTCGTGCACACACTCCTCGTGCACACACTCCTCGTGCACACACTCCTCGTGCACACACTCCTCGTGCACACACTCCTCGTGCACACACTCCTCGTGCACACACTCCTCGTGCACACACTCCTCGTGCACACACTCCTCGTGCACACACTCCTCGTGCACACACTCCTCGTGCACACACTCCTCGTGCACACACTCCTCGTGCACACACTCCTCGTGCACACACTCCTCGTGCACACACTCCTCGTGCACACACTCCTCGTGCACACACTCCTCGTGCACACACTCCTCGTGCACACACTCCTCGTGCACACACTCCTCGTGCACACACTCCTCGTGCACACACTCCTCGTGCACACACTCCTCGTGCACACACTCCTCGTGCACACACTCCTCGTGCACACACTCCTCGTGCACACACTCCTCGTGCACACACTCCTCGTGCACACACTCCTCGTGCACACACTCCTCGTGCACACACTCCTCGTGCACACACTCCTCGTGCACACACTCCTCGTGCACACACTCCTCGTGCACACACTCCTCGTGCACACACTCCTCGTGCACACACTCCTCGTGCACACACTCCTCGTGCACACACTCCTCGTGCACACACTCCTCGTGCACACACTCCTCGTGCACACACTCCTCGTGCACACACTCCTCGTGCACACACTCCTCGTGCACACACTCCTCGTGCACACACTCCTCGTGCACACACTCCTCGTGCACACACTCCTCGTGCACACACTCCTCGTGCACACACTCCTCGTGCACACCCCCCCCCCCCCCCCCCCCCCCCCCACCCTCGTGCACACACTCCTCGTGCACACACTCCTCGTGCACACACTCCTCGTGCACACACTCCTCGTGCACACACTCCTCGTGCACACACTCCTCGTGCACACACTCCTCGTGCACACACTCCTCGTGCACACACTCCTCGTGCACACACTCCTCGTGCACACACTCCTCGTGCACACACTCCTCGTGCACACACTCCTCGTGCACACACTCCTCGTGCACACACTCCTCGTGCACACACTCCTCGTGCACACACTCCTCGTGCACACACTCCTCGTGCACACACTCCTCGTGCACACACTCCTCGTGCACACACTCCTCGTGCACACACTCCTCGTGCACACACTCCTCGTGCACACACTCCTCGTGCACACACTCCTCGTGCACACACTCCTCGTGCACACACTCCTCGTGCACACACTCCTCGTGCACACACTCCTCGTGCACACACTCCTCGTGCACACACTCCTCGTGCACACACTCCTCGTGCACACACTCCTCGTGCACACACTCCTCGTGCACACACTCCTCGTGCACACACTCCTCGTGCACACACTCCTCGTGCACACACTCCTCGTGCACACACTCCTCGTGCACACACTCCTCGTGCACACACTCCTCGTGCACACACTCCTCGTGCACACACTCCTCGTGCACACACTCCTCGTGCACACACTCCTCGTGCACACACTCCTCGTGCACACACTCCTCGTGCACACACTCCTCGTGCACACACTCCTCGTGCACACCCTCCTCGTGCACACACTCCTCGTGCACACACTCCTCGTGCACACACTCCTTTGTCACTCACTCTTTTAGTCTCACTTCGGTCCTCTTCCTGAGCACTTCGCTTCCTCTCGAACCCCCCCCTTCACCAACCCTCCGTGTGCGTTGTGCGTGCGCAACAGAGGTGCAGTGTGGGCGGATGCGGCAGCAGTTGGCATCGCTGGAGCGTGTGGGGGCAGCCGCGAGGGAGAGGGAGCGGGAGAGGGAGGAGCAGAGAAGGCGCGTGGCAGAGAGGGCGGAGGAAAGCATGAGAGTGCAGATGAAGCGATGCCATGTGCTGGAGGTAACAAGTTGCCATCAGTCACAAGGTCTGCCAATCAACACTCTTGCCTCTCCCCTCCGTGACCCCGTCTTCCCCACTCCTCCCTCCCCTCCGCCCGCCTCATTGCCAAACTCTCTAACTCCCCGCCACCTCCTCCTCTGAGGATGCCTCCATCCCTTTCCCTGCTCTCCCCCCCCCCTTCACTCCTCTCCCCTGCCCCCCATCCTCGCCGTGTGTTAGACACGCGTGAGATTACCCTTGTGTCTCAACACGAATTTTAACTGTGTTGCGTCCATGCACCCCCCAGCTGCAAGTGCTGCAGCTCACGAAGCACAGCTCAGAGGCAGAAGCGCGCGCCGCAGCCGCAGAGGCTCGGGCGGCAGCAGCGGAGGCAGGGCAGGCGAGGGCAGAGGAGGAGGTGCGGGCAGGGCAGGCAGCGAGAGAGCGGGAGGTGGAGGTGGTGAGGGTGCAGATGCAGGGGGAGATGGCACGACTGGAGGCAGAGGTGAGACGCACGGCTGCAGACGGCCCGGGGGATGTGACAGCAGGGCCGAATGGAGCAGTCATGTGCTTAGGGGCATCCATGTAAAAGGCCAGGAAAGGCTTTCAGGCATGCCCTCTTATTTCACTTTTCACCGTGCAAGGCCTTTACGAAAGGCTGTAAGTGCCACAGCTCCATCTGCAGCTCCCCCGTTTGAGTGTGCGCATGGTGCTGTCATGCCACGTGTGCCCGTGCGCTGCAGCAGGTGCGCATGGCGGGCGGCCGCATGGACGCCATGGCGGTGGAGATGGAGTCGCTGGAGGACGAGGCAGACGCACTCAGGGCGCACCACGCTCAGGTGGCTACAGCATAGCGCTAGGTGATGTAGGTGTTGCAGGTGTTGTAGGTGATGTGAGTGGACATAATTCTGTGTCATGACTGCTATTCAATGTAAAGTGATGCTAACTTTAAGCCCAACTTATCACTCCCCCCCTCCTCCCCCCTGCTCTTCCGCTCCTGGCTGTGTGCCCCAGGCATGCAGGGAGGTGGCGGAAGCTGGGCGTGAGTTGGAGCGAGTGCGGAGCGAGGCCGAGCTGGGCCGGTCGACCTCGCGTGTGGAGGCAGAGGCGCTGCTGGGGCGCCTGCGAGAGGACAACCGCCGCCTGGTGGGGTGGGGGGGAACAGGGGAGGGGAGGGGAGGGGAGGGGTGTCGGGCATGGGTTCACACTTGTTCTGTTGCGCTCCCTGTGAAGCACCCACTTGTTCTGTTGCCTTGTTCAGCCCGCCCTCTCATTCCGCTCCCCACTGTGCACTTCTGGGGAGGCCTTGTTCTTATGAGGTTCCCCTTGATTTGGTGCGAGAGCACATGAATGATGCCGCCGTCCTCTGACTCGTGTGGCTCTCCCTGCACCTCGTGTGCAGCTGGAGCTGGTGGGCAGGGCGGAGAGGCAGCAGGAGGAGCGGCAGCGCTGCCATGTGTTGCAGCAGCAGGTGCTGGTGGAGAGAGCACGGGCAGATGCCGCCGAGGCGGCGGCAGCAGCGGCAGCAGACGTGGCGGTGCAGCTGAGGCGCGCCCAACACGACCTGCAGCGCTGGCGGGCCCTCCTGCACTCGCCCCACCTTGACCTCGCCGTTGCTGCTCGGGGCGGTGCTGAGACGAGGGGGCCGGAGAAAATGGGCGCAGAGGACGTGCAGGGGGGAGAGGGGGGGCAGAGAGGGGACGAGGGAGAAGGGCATGGGGGTGGCGGTGGGGAGGGGAGGGTGGGAGCAAGGGAGTATGGGCCTGAGGATGTGGTTGCGGCTATTGGCAAGCTGCAAAGGTAAGTCAAGAAGCAATGCCGGTGCCGGTGCCTCCTTTCCTTGCTGTGCAAGTATCCTCGCATAGTGTTGTTGATGCATCCACACTGCAATGCATGTCATGCTCCCTCATCATATCTTCCTCCCCCCCTCCTCCCCCCCCTTCCCCCCCACCTTTCCTCTGACGTCCTTCCCCCTCCCCGACCTTCCCCAACACCCCCCACTGCCCCCCCCTGAGCGTGGAGCAGCGCGGCGCTGTGTGCGATGGCGGAGGCGGGAGAGGGGGCAGCGCAGGTGGTGCCGCTCAGAGCAGCTCTGGCAGCAGCACAGAGGGCAGAGCAGGAGGCGAGGGCGGGTGAGAGTGATGTGCGGCGCCAGCTGCGGCAGCTGCAGGGGCAGCTGGACGCCAAGCACACAGAGGTGCACTCCCATGCACCCCTGCTGCCTCTTTGCATGCCTGCTGGCCTGCTTGCCTGCGTGCATGCTGCTGCATGCAGTGTGTTTCTCTCGCGTTTTGCCTAGCCGACCTTGAGGACGCTGCATTTTCTGTTCATCGTGCTGATTTCGTGCAGCCCCTCTTTCTCCTCCCCTTGGCGTCTTTGCCTCCTTGTGCTCGTTCACTCATGCACATGCACGAGCCCACTCAAATGCTGGACTGTATGTCAAGGCAATGCATGTACTTGAATCGTCGCCAGTCTACCAGCCTGCCACCTCTTCCTAATGACGTGTCCTAAGAGTACATCCGAATACAGTTGAGTGAGGTGGATTGCTTTTCAAAAAGATCAAATACCTCTAGAACACGGTTCGGTAGGGTATTGGCAAAAAATGAACGCTTAGGGCATGCCCTAATATGGCTTGCGCTCGAGCCACCCTCACTTGCCACATAAAGCCCCGCACAAATGTCACAAAATGCAAACTCTGCCCACATACTCTCACGCCCACCCTTTCTTTTCCTGTGGACCCCAGATGGCAGTGGTGGTGCGTGAGAGGGATTCGCTGCGCCACATGCTGCAGTCGTACGATGAGGAGGAGCACGTGGTGGCAACCTGGCTCAACACACCGGCGCCGCACGCACCACTGCCTGCACCGCTGCCTGCACCACTGCCTGCACCACTGCCTGCACCACTGCCTGCAGCGCAAGCTGTTCCAACGCCACCTGCGGATGGTGGCGGTGCTGATGCTCTGAGAGCAGGAGGGGGGTTCGTGATGGTGACAGTGCCTGGTGTGACAGAGGGGGGAAAGGTCCTTGCTGTGCCGGCAGCACCACATGCTGCCAAGAAGCGACGCCTTGAGGTATGCGCGTCGCGCCTCTCATCAGTTACTTCTCTTGCCACATTCTTCCCTCACCCTCCCTGTCCATCTCACCCTCCCTGCCCATCGCCCATCTCATCCTGCGTACTCCAAGGCTGCCTCCTCCACTTTGCTATGGCCACAGGGAAACGTGCGCATGCTGGTGCATCACTTGGGTCGAGGGGAAATGTTGGCAAAGTGCTGGTCTTTCGCTGGACTTAGTAACGTGTTCCATTTGGTACTGCACGTGTTAACCACTTCTTTTTTCTTCCCTTTTTGTCCCTCCGTTGATTTCCGCCCCGTGTGTGCTGCGTGCCAGCAGGAGCTAGAGCGGGCGCTGCATGTGGAGCAGGGTGAGTTGCAGGGTAGGGAGGTGGCTCTGCGCGGAGTGGCAGCAGAGAGGGACAAGCTGCAGCATGAGGTGGAGCGACTCAAGAGAGAGGTGGAGGGAGAGAGGGGGAAGAGAAGAGCAGCAGAGGCAAAGCTGGAAGCCATCGGTCAGTAGCTGCATATTCAGAACCCAACACATTTGCATAAATGTCCTGGGAAGAGGCAAACGAGTGGAAAGGGCGTTGCGCTCTATGAATTTCTGGCTTCGTCTTCGAATTGGTCGGCTTGCTCCATGTTCTACCGGTTCAGGTTGCTGGGCTGAGAATAGCCCTAGGATCTTTTCATAAGGCTAAGTCCTTGTAACCGAGTGCTTGATAGCACAGCGGAAGTCTTGAGTCTGAACCCTTGTATTCGTATGTGAGAACAAGTGATTGATTATAGCAAGCGGATACAGAATTTATATAATAAAACAAGAGAATATGAAGAGTCTAACTCTCTGTGCACTTCAAGGGGTACATTCCCTTTTACGACTCGATAAGGCAACTCAGGTAACCACCCGTACTGTAATACCGGTAACTGAAAGAAATTGACAGGTGGTGTAGGAGACTACGGATAGAATCTGCAGACACAAGTACTTGAAGTAGAAAGTAATACTGGAAGTACCTTCAGTAACAGCCAGTATTAACGAGTTGTAACACCAAAATTAGTGTTACAGCTGTCAACTTATACATATTATCTATGTAGAAGTTATAGGCTAGACTGAGGTATGCTCCTAGTGAGTACAACCAACTAGTATTTGTTCTAGGTTTCCACCTCTAGTAATCATTCGTTTCTACGTTAACATGGTATCACGCTTAGGTTAGGATCCCCCCGCCTACCGCTTCCGCCCGTCGCGCCTCCTAGGCCCCGTCGCGCCCCCTAGGCCCCGTCGCGCCCCCCCTGGGCCCCGTCGCGCTCGTTAGGCCCCGTCGCGGCCCCCCTGGGCCCCGTCGTGCCCGCTGGTCCCCGTCGCGCCTCCTCGGCCCCGTCGCGCCCCCCCTGGGCCCCGTCGTGCCCGCTGGGCCCCGTCGCGCCCCTTAGGCCTCGTCGCGCCCGCTGGCCCCTGTCGCGCCTGCTGTTAGCGCTCGCCTGCCTGGCCTCCTAGTGCCGCTCGGCCTCCTCCTAGTGCCGCCCGGCCCCTTCCTAGCGCCGCCCGGCCTCTCCTCAGCGCTGCCCGGCCCCTCCTCGTGCCCGACCGGCCCCAGCAGCACCAGCCTGGCCCCTCCCAGCACCAGCCCGGCCCCAGAGCACCTGCCCGCCTCCCCTGCTCGGCCTGCCGTGTCCTCTCGGGCCCTGTGTCTTCTGCTCGCCTGCGCTGGGACGCCTAGCTGCTGCCCTACTGGAGAGTGCTGCCGCCGTGTCCCCGCGCCGCTGTGCTCCTGTGCCGCTGAGGAGCTGTGCTGCTGTGCCGCTGTGTCGCTGAGGAGCTGTGCCGCTGACCCTGCACGATGGCTGACTTTGTGCTCCGCCTGGACGCTGAGGGCCACGCGGTTGACTTCGCCGCCTGGCTCTCCGATCTCCGCCGCCAGCTTACAGGTCAGCGCCAGGATGGCCACTCTCTGGTTGTCCATGCTGATGGCTTGCTCCCCCGTCCCCCTGCACCTACTCCCCTCCCTGCTGACCCCTCCTCTGATGACCGTGAGGCTTTCTCTACTGCTGCGCTGGCCTGTGCGGTCTGGGACTCACGCGATGCAGTAGCTCAGGTTGCTATTAGTCACGCCCTCCCTGTGTCTGAGCGCTCGCGTTTTGCTACTGTTGAAACGGCCAAAGCTTATTTAGACGCCGTTATTGCTCGCTATTCCACCCCTGCCTCCGCTTCTGCTGGCCGCTTGCTCTTTCCGATGCTGTTCCCAGACCTGGCTGCCTTCCCTACTGTCGCAGACTTTGCCACTCATTTGCGTGCCCTAGAGACTCGCTATCGCACTGCCAGCACTGCTGCCCAGCTCACTGCGCTCCCCCCTCCTTTCTGCATGACGCTCTATTTTATCGCTATGCGCCTGCCAGACCGCCTCGCTAGTGCTCGCGACCACTTTCTTAGCCAGCACCCGGGTGACCTCACCCTGACCGCCTTTGTCGACACCCTCACTGAGATCGAGACTCGCCAGCGCACTATCGCTCAGTCGAGCGGTGCGCCGGCAGTCTCTATCTTTCACGGCTGTGCCCCATCCCAGTGCACGTTCACTGACGTTTCGGCTGCGGTCGCCACGGCGACCCCTCTTACCGAGACGGCTGCTGCTGTCCACCCGCAGCAGCGCTCGCGTCGCGGTGGCCGTGGCCGCCAGGGAGGTAGGGGTGGTGACGCAGGTGGTAGTGGTCGTGGTGGTGGTGACGGTAGTCCGCCTGAGGGGACTACCACCGGTGGGCAGGAGCAGCAGCCCCAGCAGCAGCAGGACCAGCCCCAGCCGCAGCCGCCGTCCCAGCAGCACCCGCCGCAGCCGTGGGCTCGTCTCCCGCCTGGTTGGCCCGGCACCTCCGGAGGCGGTGGCCGTGGTGGCGGCCCGCGCAGCTTGGCGTCTACCAGCGGCTCCAGTGCTGTGACCTGCCAGTACCAGCTTCAGACCGGGCCTCTCCGCGGCACTCTGTGCCGCCGCCCGCACCCGACCGCCCGCTGTTTCCGCCGCCTCGACGATCTTTTTCGTCGTCGCTTTGGCCCGGCCCCGGACCTCCCTGACTGGCACAGCCTGCTCCGCCAGGGCGTGCCGATCTTTGAGTTAGACATGGATCAGATAGGTGCTGCCTTGCATGCTTTGTATGCTGACGCTTCTAGTGTTGCTGGATCTTACTACCCTGTGTACTCTAGTTTAGGTGTTTCACCCTTGTGTAGCTTAGCTTCCCCTGCTGCGACAGGCGTAGGACTGCCTAGGTTGCCTAGTCTAGTCGCTGCACCGGCTCCGTCCCCGGCCTCCGCCACTGCGTCGCTGTCCTTCACTCTCGACTCTGGTGCTTCTGCCTGCTTCTTCCGCGACCGTTCCACGCTCACGCCGCTTGCTGCACCTGCTGTTGTCTCTCTCGCTGACCCCTCTGCGGGTCCGGTCGTCGCGCGCAGTTCTACGTCCCTTCCTTGTCCGGCAGTTCCCTCGGGCTCCCTTACTGGCCTCCACGTTCCCTCGTTCTCCAGGAACCTGGTTGGTGTCGGCTGTCTCCAGGACCTCGGCGTCACCACCACGTTCCCCGGGCACGAGCGGTTCGCTGTCTGTTCTGAGGCTGTCTCAGGTTCCCCCCTTGCGACGTTCCCCCGGGACCCGGTGTCCGGTCTGTTTACCCTACACACCGCTTCCCCCCCGGTTGGTGCGTCCTCCCAGGTCGCTGCAGCTTGCTCGTGTCGGTCCCTCACTCACCCCTCCCTTCTCTGGCACCACCGCTTAGGTCACCCTGCTCTCCCGCGTCTGCGTCACATGTCCCAGCACGGTCTTGTCTTAGGTCTCCCCGCGTCGCTCCCTGCCCTTCCTCCCTCGACTGCGCCACCGTGCACGCCTTGCGTCGAGGGTCGGCTCCGCCGTGCTCCTCACTCCTCCTCGCTGCGTCCTTCTACTGCCCCCCTTCAGACCCTGCACTTGGACGTTTGGGGCCCTGCCCCCGTCCCCGGACCGCGCGGTGAGCGCTACTTCCTTGTGCTCGTCGACGACTACACGCGCTACACCACGGTGTTTCCCCTGGAGCGGAAGGCCGACGTGCCCGACGTTCTTCTCTCGTGGGTTGTGGCTGCGCGTCTCCACCGCGGTCTCCCCGTGTTGTGTCTCCACTCCGACCGTGGCGGCGAGTTCGCCTCTGGTCGGCTTGGACAGTTCTGTCGTGCGGAGGGCATCACCTAGTCGTACACGTTGCCGGACTCGCCACAGCAGAATGGGGTTGCTGAGCGCCGCATCGGCTTGGTCATGGAGGTCGCCCGTACCTCCATGATCCATGCCGATGCCCCCCATTTTCTGTGGCCGTTCGCTGTTCGCTACGCGGCTCACCAGCTGAACCTGTGGCCACGCTCCCTGCGGCCGCAGGTTTCGCCGACCCTCCTTTGGACCGGGTCCCCCGGTGACGCGTCTGCGTTCCACGTCTGGGGCTGCCTTGCTCACGTTCGTGCCTCTGGCACGGACAAGCTCACTGCCCGCACTGTCCCCTGTGTCTTCCTCGGTTTCCCCCTGGACTCGTCTGACTGGCTTTTCTACCACCCGCCGTCTCACCGCTTCCTCCACTCTCGTGACGTCACCTTTGACGAGTCCGTCTCCTTCTACCGCCGGTTCCCTCACCGAGGTCTCCCAGTTGCCCCCCCCCTTTTCCTTGCTCCCTCTCCCCCGGTAGCCCCTGCCCCTCTCCCGCCTCGTCCTGCCCCGTCTGGTGTCTCCCACGTCACTCCCCTCCCGTCGGTTGTCCCCGTTGAGGAGTCTGCTGACTCTGGTGGTACCCCCGGTCCGTCCTTGCCGCGTCCCCCTTCCCCGGTGCCTCCGCCCCCACTGTCGCAGTCGCCGACCCCGCTGCCGCCGCCGTCGCCGTCGCCGCCGCAGCCGTCGCCGCTGTCGTCGCCGCCGCCGCCGCTGTCGCTGCCGCAGCCGTCGCCGCTGTCGCCGCCGCCGCAGCCGTTGCCGCCACTGCCGCCGCTGCTCTCGGCCCCTGGAGGTGCTGGTGTGGAGGAGGGTGTTCGTCCTGCGGCTTCTGGGGGTGCCGCTGGTGTTGGAGGGGGTTCTCGCTCTGGGGGTGTTGGTTCTGGGGGTGCTGCTGTTGAGTGTTCTGCCGACGGTCGTTCTGCCTCTGCTGGTCCGAGAGTTCCGGCCCAGCCGTCGTCGCCGCCGCAGCAGCCGTCGCCGCCGGTTTCCGCTCTCCGCCTGCTCGGCCTTCCCTCCCCGGACCGCGCGCCGGTGTCTCCCCCACCGCCTCCTGACCTTCCTGTCTACGGTCCTGTGTTCCCGCCGCCAGACTCGTCTCCGGCCCGTCTTCCTCCTCGTTCCCCTCCTGTGTCTCCTCCGCTGTCCCCTGACCCTACCCCTCCGTCTCACGTTTGGGCTCGCCGTCCCTCCCGTGCTCGTCCCGTCTCTCCTGTCCTGCCCACCCACCCTATGTTGCTCCGTTCCCACTCGTCTCGTCCTCCCCTCCTCCCGTCCCCTCCTCCCTCGTCCCTTGCTGTTGCACCTCCTCCGTTCTCTGACTACCTCCGTGCTGCTCGTCCCCTTGTCCCTCGGGTCCTTGCCTCTCTTGTTACCGACCCTGCTGTTCCTGTCTCGCGCCTTGACGCGCTTGTCGCTGCTGTCGCTGACTTCGCCTCTACCCGCCGCCTTGACTACGCTACCGCTCTGGTCTCTGACCCTGCCCGTCCTCTGTCCGTCGGGGGTGCTCCTGCCCTTGGCAGTGACGTCCTAGAGGACAGGCAGTACGAGCTGGTTTTCCTTTCCGAGGCTGCTCCCCATCTCTGCTCCATGCTGTTAGTCCCTGAGGGTGACCCAGACGCCTTCGACATC